GGGCAGTAAAGGAAAATGTGAATTTGCTTGTATTCGCTCATATATGAAAACTCCTTAAAACATGATTAGACATTGTGTGGATATTTGATATTTAAATTTCCAACTTCAAGTGTTACATAAAACGTCTCTTATGGCCGATACAGATTAAGTCACATTTCTATGGCCCTGTGCTGTTGACAACCAGGGAGCCATTATGTTTTTGAGTTGCCTGCCTGACTAGTGCAGAGGGTGTGTCCATAGATGCCTATGTTGCTTTTTGGTCAGAATTCTTAGATTCTGCAGCAGAGGGGGCAGAAATTAGGGTACCATCCCCCGCCGAAATGGCAGGAGGAGGAGTGGAAGGCTGTAGGACGAATATTGGTTTCCTGGACCAAGGATACCCTCCATTGCCTCTGCTCCAGCATTTACCACAGCACTGATATTTGGAGAGCAAGCTGTGTCTACTGATTCACTGTTTGAATCTTTGCTGTTATACCTAAGTAAGTGTGAGTGAGAGCTCATAAACATTGTTTTAAAGGAAGACTGATAGTTATGGCCAAGATGAGCCATTGGATCTGCTGGACTGTCTGGGAGTGAAAAGGGTTCCATCACGAGATTACCTTAAAACAGTTCTCCTTCAAATAGCACACAAAAATCTTACACCAACCAAAGTATGCTTTGAAAATATGTCAGTGGTTGCAGGACAACTCCTGAGGACCACTATAACCACAACAGAAAAAATACAAGTCATCTATGTGTTATGGAATTTTCATAGACACTGTCTCTTGTCCTCTCTGGGGCATAGTGCAACAGGCTTTTGTGTTTGGGAAGTGTGAGAGCTTGGTGAAGGTCAAAGGCTTCACTCCCTAGACATCAACGATATGAGACTGCGTAGTTTAGGAACACCCATAGATTAAATGATCTGTTGTGGTTTAAAGTGTGACTGCAGGAAAGCAGACTTCAGAATATGAGAGAGCATCATGCATAGATGTTATATGGATGAATTCTGATTTTCTCCTTGGCCAAGCTTCAATAAATATTTCAGCATAAGACGTCAAAGGGCTCCTGAACACTTTCTTCATTGTTGACCATTGATTTTCCACAACACTATGCAGACTAAAAAAACAACTTGTTGGAAAGTTCTGAAGATGAATAATGCAAGTCCAGTGAATCCAGTGTTGTGGTGAAAACTAAGTTTCACTCGAGGTCCAAAAGATCGAAAATTCAGTCGAATACAAAGCAGGAGAAGTCAACTTAAAAGCAGTAGAGTTTTATTGTCGAAAACCCGAGAGCATTCAGTAGCGAGCCGGAGCCACACCAGAGAAAAACTCTGACTAACAGTGGTGTTGCTCCGCTTTATCTATCCTTAAGGGCCACGCCTGTTACTTATCTGACTGGTCTATCATTACATCTATCATTTATGGTCTGACATCGCGATCTAATCTTATTGGTTATTGGGGATGATCTGACATTGCGACCCTCCCCCTGGAAAGTCTCCAAGCCCTAGGGTTACTTTGGTATGTTGGACTTGAGTTTACCCCTAGAAAGCCTCCAAACACCTGAGTTACTTTGGATGGCCTTGGAGCTGGGACTTTTCCTCTGGAGAGCCCCTACCTTGCCATGATCAATCAATCAATCAAATTGATTTATATAGCACGGTATCACAACAAACAGTTGTATCAGGGTGCTGCACAAAAGTCCAAGAAACACAAAATCCAACTTGTTCCACACCGAGCAAGCATGAGCAACAGTGGGGAGGAAAAACTCCCAGGTGGAAGAAACCTCCGGCAGAACCAGGCTTGGTGTGGACAGCCTCTGCCAGGACCGGTCGGGGTGATGGAGAAATAACAAGTAATACAGGGGAACAAAAGGAAATGAAGGGGGGGGGGTTGAGTCAAGTGTCAGGTCAGGGGCTTGAATCCAGCCCAGGAATCTCCACATGGACGTTTGCATGGTCTTCCAAGGGCGCGTTGGTCCCCCCGGGCACTCCTGCCTCCCTCATGGTTCACGTGCGCTGTAATAGGACCCATGGCTCCAGAGGTGGGGGGTCCTCAGGTGGGAGTGCTGGTGGTTGCGTGACCCTCCATGTCAGCCCTGCGAAAGATTGGCGACCTCACTAGGTCCATCCCTCACCAGGACGGGCTCCGGAGGGCCGCACAGTATGGACCACGGAGGGGAGGAGAAGACCCAAGGAGTTAGAGATATGTAATAAGATATAACAAAATAAACCAGGCAGAGAGTGAAGAAGAGAGAGGAAGATAGAAGGT